TTTTTTTTTTTTTTGAGACAGTGTCTCACTATGTAGTCCAGGCTGGCCTCGAACTCATGGTAATCTTCCTGCATCAGCCTCCCTAGTGCTGGGATTACAGGCATGTGCCACCATGTCCAGCTCAGTCTTTTCAATGTTCTCACATGAACTAGTCCTACATTACCTCTCTGACCTTGTCTCTCACCACTTTCCCATTCATTTACTCTGCTCTTGTCACAATGTTCTTGCCCCACCTCAAACAAGACAACCACACTCCTGAGTTCCTTTTGCCCGTTCCTTTTGCCTGGAATACTCTTGCCATAGACATTCAACATAGCCTTAACCCTCAACCCTCTCAGGTCTTTACTCAAATACCACCTTTCCAATGAGGCCTATGCTGATCAGCCTGTATGAAATAGTACCCACTACTCCCAGCACTCCTTTTACCCCTTGTCCCAATTTATTTCCTCCCATAGCACTTTTTCCATTAGATATACTGTATTTTATTATTTGCTCACTGCTTTGTGTTCCACCAAGAATGTAAGCTCTATGAGACAAAAACTTTTTTCTGCTCACTGCTGGGTTTTTTGTTTGTTTTTGTTTTTGTTTTGTTTTTTTGGTGTGTATGGGGTGGTGGCTGTGCTGGAGACTGAATACAGAGCTTCATACATACGAAGCATGAACTCCACCATTGAGCTCCACCTCCAGGCCTCTCTGTTGATTCTTTACTGTTTTAAACAGTATATGACATGCAGTAGATACTCAATGAAAGCTAATGAATGATTTCCTGTGTATTAATCTAATTGACACTAGAAGTCCACATTAAACAATAAAGAAGTCACACCGTCTAGTAGAAACAACTGCTAAAAAATTATCATCCATGTGCCTAGTACAACAATTGGGATTAAGCACAGTTATGATTTAAGAATAAGAGCAAATATCTCTACCAGTGTATGTCAGTCACACTGAAAAGAGATGGAAGCCAAGAATTGAAAGATAAGTATAAGTTCACAAGGTAGGTGCTATTTGTGGATAACGTCATTACATACAGAAAAGAGTAAATGAAATGATCTAATAAGCAGAAAATAACACACTGTAGTTTCATATGGATAGAACATAGAGTACATGTGTAGCAGTGAAAAAGACAAGAAGAGTGATATATAGAGGTGGGAGACCTAACATGGGGAACATATCCTCAACAAACAGAGACTGGAATTTCTCCTGAAGGAAAGAGAACCATTAAAGCTGGGATCCTGGTTGAGGATGTGGCTGTGTTAAGGAATGCATGCCTAGCATGTGTGAGGCACTGGGTTCTATCTACAGCACCAAAAAAAATAAAGGAGCCAAGTGTGATGGTGCATGCCCATAATCCCAGTACTCTAGAATGCTGAAGTGAAGAATTTCAAGTTTGAGCCCAGCCTGAGCAACTCAGCAACTTATTGAGACACCACCTCAAAATGGAAAAGAAAAGTACTAGAAATTCAGTTCAGTGCAAAGGCCCTGAGTTCAATCCCTAGTACCACAAAAAACAATTAAGTAAGTAAATAATAAACATAAAGCTGGGATCCTTACCCAAGATTGATAGATGGGTTTCAGTACATATGTAAACCCTAAAGCCAGCATATTATCAGGTGTAGGTCCATAGCTTTCATCACATTCCTCCAAAAGAGCCATGATTCAAAAATAGGTTATAAATTATTCTAATAAAGACATTGTTCAGAAAATGATATGATCAAATTTGCATTTTAGCAAAATCACTTGAGCATAAATGGGTAGAAAAGTGCTGAAACACTTAGGTGAATAGTTCATGTTCTAGGGACAGATGGAAGACCAACATGAAGCATAGGAAACAGGCTTTGACTAGAAATACAGATTTTGTATGGTAATGGAAGCCTACAGGTGGTAGAAAATGTGATGAGCATGGATGACTATACATAGAAAGTATGTAAAGTGAGAAAGAAGATAAAGAATAATTAAATCACTAAGGACACTCAATATTTAAGGAGAGAAAAGAGGGATCAAAGGAGAATTAGAAGGAGGTGAGAGGAGAATATAGAGGAAAGTAAGGTCATGAAAAGGGAGGAAAGAGTTTTAGGAGGGAAGAAACAAATGCCTTGGTGAGGTCATGCAGGACAAAAACTGAAAAGTGATCAGTGGAAAGGGCATTGAGGTCTGTAGTCAAGGTGAACTGGAAAAAATAGTTTCAGTAGTATGAATGGGGCAGAAGCTAGATTGCAATGAACTGAGGCCTGACTCCGTAGTGAGTAAATGAATTCCAAAAAGCCTATACTGCATTTTCTTGAAGCTAAGATATAAAGGAAAAGATGGGAATACAGCAGTTTTGATGAAAGAAATGTTTATGTTTAGGAAAAGAAGCTACTACAGATAGAGAAATAGAAAACGAAGCAAGGGGATGTGAGAGAGAGAGAGAGAGAGAGAGAGAGATCCCGATACCTGAGGAATTAAGAGGGTGCTGTCTACAGGAAAGATGAAAGGATTTGGTTAGGCAAGATGAGGGTTACCTCTTTCCATGACAAAGGAATAAAAATTGTGGACAAAAAATGGGAAGAACACCTGCCTGAGAACATAATTTTCTATATGAGACATAAGACAATTTGCAGAGGAGACAAGAGAGGAGATCACAGAATCTTGTGAAAGATAAAAGGTATGGAGTTCTTATAATAAAACATAAAAGAAGGACCATAGAAGATCAGCTAAGGCTAGACCTCATCACTTTATACTGGGATCAATGAGCACAGTTGGGAAGCGTAACTTCAGTGAAATGATCAGAAAGCCTGTGGTAAAAAAATGATTTCAGAAAGTAAAATCATGATGCCAGTTTTTCTTTTTTATATAACATTTCAGGGTTATAAACTTATCCATGGATTCATAACTGCCCCACAATTAGTATTAAAAAGAAAATTAGCTTACTTGAGAGCTCGGCATCAATAATCATGGAAGACGAAGTTGATGATGGTTCATTACTTGCATCAATTTGAATCAGGGATGCATTTTTAATGTTATTTTCCTCTATCTTCCAGTTGTTCTTATGTAGTAAGCCTTCAATATTGGTAACTTTACAGCTAATACCACAGCCTGGTACAACCTGGAAATCTATGCAGGTACCCAAGGTATCAGTGTCCAGCTCCTAACAAAGAGAAATAAGATTTTCATCCTGCTGTTCCATTGGTAAGATTAAAGATTACTCCTGGTAAATTCTAAATATTTTGAATAAAGCTACTTTACAGTGAATTTTGATAAGGATAAAGAAACAGAGCACTGGGTATAACATTCAAACTTATAGGAAAGTCTCAAAATCCTTAGTTTTAATCTTACTTTCTCAAATTTATATAAGACATAAAAGGCTTATTGATATTCTCTGCCCTTTGCAGTATAAAATTACAAGTTAAATTTTTAATTCATAATCAAGTCAAGTTTCCTATTCCATATAGAGCAAGGGTAACAAAAAACAGGTCCTTTAGTTATTAGAGTGCTCTCTAGTCTGATACTTTGTCCTTAGTAAGGCAAAAAATTCTGTGGACGATCACTGTTTACTGGCTCATTTTATATCTTCATCTTCCCTGTTTGATTTTAGCATAAATAAGCCAGGTCAGTAACACTTAATAGGTAAAAAGGAAGGAATAAAAAAAAAGGCAAGACAGACAAAGGTACCAATTGCCACATTTGAATTGTAAAACAAATGAGACAATTAACCTTAATCAATGTGAAAAAGACAACCCTGTGAAAAAATAGGTGTTACGGTTTATGTCTAGATGTCTCCCAAAGCCTCGTCCAGTCATAGGTGGGGCTTTTCAGAGGTGGATGGATATAGAGTGTGTGATGCTCGGCTTAAGTATGTTGTTACTTGGTACTTTACTTCGCTACTTGCTGCCTCCTGTCTGCCATGAACTTCTTCTCCTCTGCCATGCGACACTCCCGTGGACCCAGCAAACTATGAACTGTAAGCTACAATAAACCTTCCCACCTTGAAATTTGGGTGTTGGGTATTTTGTCTCAGCAATGAGAAAACTAACTAAGACAATAGGCAAAGGCTATAGACAACAGGTTAGAGAAAAACAAGTCCAAATGGCCAATAAACACATAAAAAGATGCTCAACCTTATTCGTTATTAAAGAAATACAAAGTAAACTATCAAGAAGTAAATATGTTTCACATAAAACTGGTAGAAATGTGGGGAAATAAGCACTCATAACTCTGGGTTTGGTTATAAACAGGTATAATTTCTTATAAGGGTGTTCATAATATTCATCATATAGGAAGCTCAGCTGGTCCCAGCACCCGGAAGGAAGCTCCCCACCTCCATCCCAGGCTCCTAGGGCAGAGAAGCTCAGCCAGTCCCAGCACCTGGAAGGAAGCTCCCCCACAGCCATCCCAAGCTCCTAGGGCAGAGAAGCTGAGCCGGTACCAGCGCCTGGAAGGAAGCTCCCCAGCTGCCATCCCAAGCTCCTAGGACAGAGAAGGTGAGCTGCGTGGGCGCCAGAAGC